TTCCCTTTCCAAAACTGTTATGTAATTGTCTTCAAATTCAAAGACTAAGTACTTGTCCTTGCATGCTGATTAAGAGCACAGCACAACCATGAGAATCAGAATGGCACAAATTGAACAGGAAATATTTAAGGGGTGCTACCACTTACAATCTACAAGGTACGCCAAATGATGAATGTTCCTTATTTGGGTTCCATTTAACTTCAAAACCTGAAATCAATTTTTTGTTAGTGCAGCCATATGGTTGGCAGAGACATGCCAAAAATGTAAACGGAAACAGATAACTTGCCTGCTGATTGCTCATATCCTCATACCCTATGTTCACTTCATTTGCTAAGACCTATAGGAGATGAATCCAAAAATAAGAAAAAATGGCAACAGTTAAAAATTTTCAGAAACAAAGAGTGATGAAAAGGATGATTCTCCTTTTGTACAACTTAACATGCATAATATATTACAGGGAGGGCAAGAGAGGACAAAAATAAAAGAAGCTACACGTTTAATATTGGCTTTAATAACCACAACATAATCTCAACATTTGATGTACATTGCTAAAGGAATATGTATGGAACTAACCTGTGATAGGATCACAATCTGTTCCCCTTTGAATCTAGCCAAAGAGTAGCGTGCCTTTGCCAAGAGTTTCAACTGACCAGAAGAGAAACCAAAAACCAATCAGTTTCCAAACCATAAGTGTGCATTCTGGTCAGCAAACGAAAAAGAAAAAACTAGTTAAACAGGGCTTTTGGGCTTAAGAGTTTCCTCCATGGTCACTACTTACTCCTATAGAGTCTTCACACTCCTCACTGCCAAAAGAACATAAGAAATGGTTAGTGTGCAGTTAGCACGGGAAGTTTATTACTAAAATAATTTATTCAGTGCCAGAAATGAGCGTGACATACTCTATCAGTGGTTCTGAGAGTGGGGTAAACACCAAACCAGCAATGATTAAGTAGGAAGGCTGACCTCCATCGATATGAAAGGGGACCTTATTGGGCCATAAAGAACTCAAAACAATCAGCATCAGGATGTTTATGAGAAAACAATAATAATAAGATTGACAACAATAGCTTTATGGCGTTGTAAAAAGAACCAAAAATTTACAACTTACCAAATGCACTCGTGGGTTCAAAACTGCTTTAACTTTTTTGAATTCTCCAGCTCTAATAATACCAAGATCTGAAACGTCACCTGCAAATCTGTATAGGAGCATTGTTAGCCTATAAATTGCACCTATAAATTAACAAATTAGAACATGGATGAAAATTCTACAGGAAGGAATTCATACGACTACCATGACTATGAATGAAGAGACAAGAAAAGGCAAAAAAAAAATCAAAATTTTAATAGAAAAAGGAATGTAAATTAAGACATAGAAGCTAGTGACTCCTAAAAATCGGCATTAGTGGTCAGAGTAGTGACTCCTTAAAACTTGCACACTTGGGTGCGCCTTAAGGCTTTTTCAGTATAATCTTTCATTTTTCCACAAAAGCAAGTACAGCCAGGCCCCACTGAAGGCATTGCAATGCCAAATAATAATTGCAGGGGCTAACCAATGGATCAAGTATTCTTACCGGAACAAATAAGTACTTAAAAAGAAAATGCAGCTTTTAACTTAATTTCTTTGTCTTAGAACCAGGGATTTACTTTTGGCTAATGAGGTAGCGGAATGCAATGCGCTCATTTGATCGGAAAGGTACTGTTCCTTCACACCCTACATGAACATCATCAAAGCTTACAATCACGTCCCCCTGGAAAAGCACAAGTACTATCAAAGTTATTAACAATTAAAAAAATCAAATTTTCAATACGCTTTAAATCCCAAGATAAAGGGAAACATGAGGACAGATTGTACAAAATTGATTATGGACCATAATATATTCTACGTTGACTCTAAATGCCCCATTCCTGATTGCCTTTTCACTCTCCAAAACTAACTTAGCAACCTTTTCCATACAATTACTTTATTTCCAATTCTAATAGTTTGCCACTTCACATTTTCACTATTCTTTCATCATATCTTGAAGATATCTAAACATGTAATACTGCTAACATCTGATCATCTCATAAGCTGATAGCTTGAGAAGCACCAAAAATTTGATTTAAAGGTTTCCTTTGATGACTGTTTAACAAGTATATATACAACTCGAGTACAGCAATCACTCAAGATTCAAACAGCCAGCATACCTCCTTTAATACATTATGTGCATCAGAAGTGGGTTCAACTCTTCGTACCAGTACACCCTGCGCAAGCCAGATGTGATGAGTAAAAGCCTAAGCAAAATTAACTGATTAACAGATTCAAAGCTAATATTATAATAACACAAAAACGTGGCCTGATATTATATTATAATTTCTACATAAGTAAATTCCTGCACGCTCCACTGCCACTTCATATCTGCTACTCTTACATTTCTTTTGCAAGAAACAATTTTAACCAGATGAAAGCTTTGCAATGTTTTTTCTGACACAGATACACCAGCTGATCCAGGAAACACTTAACCAGACAGAGAGACTACCTCAATAGACTCTACTTTTAAACACGCCCGTAATGCTGGATTCTCCAACTTTTGCAACAATACACCCAGGCAAGGGAAACCTGCAAGTCACAAAGCATTGAGGTGAAATTAACTGAAAAAAAATATAGCACGAATACTACTTTGCTGCTGAAGAAAGCAGCGGGTACTACACAGACAAGTTGAAATGGTATCTACAATCAATTGCTTTAGTTACATAAATCTTGGCACATTGCCATGGTCTATACCTTCTAACTCCCAGACGAGGCGTGGGGATGGTGCAAGAAAAATATGCATATACAACTAAGCTCCCTTCACACAGATGAAAGTTGGGAAGAGATTCTCACCAGTATACTTCCCGTTCCTCTCATAGTCATCCAAAAAATGAGACACAACTGTAGTAGGAATGACATATCCAATATTCTCGGCCTCTTCAGATCTGTAAACCTAAAAGAAGTGTCTCTTAAAATAATAAGGAAAAAGTTTTCATGCCACAGAATTGCCTATACAGCCAAGAAATCTGAGACCCAAGTAAACATGGATAATCAAACTTTGACAGCAAGCCAACAAATTTACCTGAAATGCCACACCAATGCACTCCCCTTGATCATTGAATGCAGGTCCACCACTATTACCTACAATCTAGCAAAGTATAAGCAGTGGCTATGATAAATATGCAATATAAAGAAGAAGGATTGTAATCTTGAGGCAGCTAAGTGACGACAGAGTGTTATAATTGTAAATTTGAATCATAGACTGACCAGGATTTATTGCTGCATCAATCTGAATGCCCAACAAATCAGATGACCCATGAGCATATGACGTAACCTGAGGATATTAATAGTGAGAAACTTGATGCCCTATATTTATGTAACACATCTTAATTTGGATGGCATATTTATCTTTTAAGGACATCAACCAATTATCAGAGCCATATCAATCAGCAAGTAATAAATCATACACGTCCACTCAGGTAAGGAAAGCCAAACCTCTATACGCGATACAACTCCCTTTGTTACTGAAATGGTATCTCCTCCAAGGGGATATCCTACAACAGTCACTGCTTCCTGTCAAATATAAAAACCACAGATACAACACTTAAAGGGGATGAACCATTGTGATGTTATAGCAGAAGTGTAGAAAATTCCAAACTGAGGTATAACAATCTCAACTTCTGCAGTTTCAGAAATAGTAAAGCTACATTGTTTTGAGGGGTAAGTTAAGGGATGAGTTTTATTATATCAAGTCATATTTAAAATCTCAGATTTAGATCACGCGGGTAGTCAGTTTATATCGTAATACTAATATATTTAATAATAGGTTTGGATAAAGCGGGCGCACATGCCCTCTAAAATTTGAAATTTGAAATTAGTTTCTTTTGACACAATGTTTGCAGTCACACTCCCTATGCACCACAATTAGTATTCCAAATGAAACTATCTCAATATATATATATATGCGGTTTTTTTTGGCTAATATTCTCTTTTGTATACCAGAAAATAAATTCTTGCAACCAACTAAAACATCTAAACCCAAGCCTCAGAAAGTTCGTTTGTTCATGTTAGTTTCTAAACGAACTAGATAGGAGTACTTTAAACCTGAAGATGTGGCAAGCTTCCCAATTGGAGTGGTTCTGCCCCTTTCCAGAATTCCTCACTTTCTACTGAAAGTAAAGCTATATCACAATCAACACCTCTGGCCAAAACCTGCATATCAAGTCACTAATAGTAAAGCTATACCATAATCCCCACTACTGATAATAAGTTGCAACATCGTATTTATCTCCAAATATTGAGCATCACTATGTTAATTTTCTGAGGGTGAAATACCTTAGCAACATATTTGGTATCATCCCCTCTTCTCTTCACTTTAACCTGCATTCGTAGAGATAATAAAAATACGATGATAATAAAAATAAATAATCGGACTGGACCTCTTGCCTAAAACATCATTTTGTATAAATACATAAAAAGTAATTGTATCCTTCACTTTCCTCAATACAGACTTTCTTCATCGGTCATGTTTTCCACACATATTATAGATAGAGATATGATTGTGCTTATGAACCCTAAAGGAAAAACACATAAAAGGCAACATATAGAACAAGTGTGTATGTCTTCTAAAACCAAAGTTGATATACTTATGAAAAATGCGCTTAGAAGGCTAAGCCTATTCACTGACTAGATAAGTAAATGACACTTTTGTACCTTTCTACTGACTATTGACTAATACGGTCAACAAAGTACCTGAGTATAATGCTCAACACAGTGGGCATTTGTCAAGAGTTTCCCGTCACCAATCATAAAAGCACTGCATTAAAGATTCAGATTATAAGTTCTTTAAAACACACACCCACATGGGCTAGTGAAATGAGTACGAGGATAAGAGTTCAAAACTTGCCTGCCTGTACTTGTATATTGTCTTTGTTTTTGCCAAGGAAGGGAGTAGTCAGGGGCGGTATGGGTGCAGTAAACCTAAACATATAACTGTTAGCTACAAACTGAGTGCGCAATGGATTCAGCAGATTTTTATGTTTAAGTGATAGGATTGACAAACACCATACTCCCACAGTTCAACAATATAACAATGAAAGGCAAATAGATTGTTTAAAAAAAGACAACAGATATTTCAATTGGGAGCTTATATTACAATATAGAACCCACAGCCCGAACAATAACATTGACACTGACAGAGGTATTCATACCTTAACGACGGCATTAAGAAAATCAGCATCCTGAAGGCTCCTCGGTTCAACCTGAATCAAGTACAATCACCTCATGAAGATAAAACCAAAATTTCAAATTTAAATAAAAAGATTTTCAAACAGTGAACAGTTTTTTTAAAACTTAACTGTAAATTTATAACACAAACTAATCCTGCAATTGAATCATGAAAAGGAATTCAGTGCAACAATTATCAAACCTGTTGCTCTTTTTGATCAACTGTAAACTCTTTCTTCTCTTTTCTTTGCGTTCCAAATGATCTATAAGCCGTTGGTTGAGACTTTCCCTTCTTCCCTCTACCAGTAACACTCCATATATCACCATTTCCGCTCAACTTATTGGGAACAGCTTCTTTCTGCATTTCCAAACCAATATTAATATTAATTAATCAATTATCAAGAAATTTACACAAACAGTAGTGCTTAGGTTTTCACCTCTGGTTGGGATTTAGCAGATGACGACGACGAGCCTTTTCTTGAACTGGAAGCTCTTTCTCTCTTGCTTTGACTAACAGGTTTAAGAGCATGGCCATTGCTTGACCAAAGCGACGTGGCGAAGCAGGGTTGGATGGAAACAGAAGAACGGAATTTAACGGTGGAGGTGGGTGCAGAGAAGCAGCAGTTGCCGACCGCAACGGCCATTTGAATTCAAGGTCAGCTCACTGCTAAAAGAAGAAGGTTGAGAAGACGAAGTTACTCTTTTATAGGACCGCGCAGCGTTTCCTTATCCGTAAATAATTGGACTTTTTCGGGCGTGGGTCTCTGAATTTTGGCGCCTACGGGTTTACTTCGAATGGGAGATTTCAGGCCCCATCTATCTTTGGGTTTCGGCTTAAGCTCATTCGATAACTTGGGCTTTAAAAATGCGCACCACAAAGCCCATATGAAAAAACCAAAAGAAAAGGTTCATTGCCTTTGCCTCGGAAACATGACGAAGCGTGACAGCTCAACACACGTGTGGGCTTCCGAAGTGGATACTGTTGTCGGGGTAGGAAGGTGATGGAGCTGACTTTTCCATAAATGCCCCGCATGCTTTATAGGACGTGTCGTTCTCACCGTCTTAATTGCTCCTGTCCGTTCGTGTAATTTTCGCGGGCCTCAAACAGTTTTGATCTGCTGCTACTCCGTCTCCGTTACCTCCATTTCTTTAGTTTAACACTGACCTTGGGATGAAGCATTATTTATACAACATTGAATTATTAATGTAGCCTGAAACTATGTAAATACTTCTTCCTTAGTATGGCGTTACATAAAATATGGTGTAAAGTTTGCAAAAGTCTATGAAGTCCCCAACATTATAAGAAGATAAATACTTGCCATTTTAATGTTACTACCCAATTAATATTCAATGTTTTTAGTTTTATTAGTGGTACATATATTAATAAGTATGCATTTGAATGTCCTAATCGTTAATGGTTTAATCACTTTGTAATTAGTCAAATCCAAACATTCATCAATGGTCATTCGGAGATCCCTTTAAAAGGATCATATTTAAACATGTCAATGGATTTGATTTTGATATGAATCCAATGTAATTAATAGGAAATGACTTGGACTTTTCAATCCGATAATTCGATTATAATCCGAATCCATTAATCCGATTATAAATGAATTCAGATATGAATTGTATGTGTAAATGAATAATTTTAGTTTTATAGCACTAAAAACACACTTAAAAAACTAATTTTAAAGATAAAATATCAAAATTGATATATAAAGTTGATAAATACAATAAAAGAATAATGCTATTAATGAAAATTTGAATCTTTTTTAGGTATATCTTAAAATAAATCCGATAATAAAATGATATGTTGAATCTCATGAGTAATAGATATGGATTGAGAATGTAATCCAATAATCCAAATCCGATAATCCAATTATAAATAGATTATGATTTGGATTAAGTATATCCGATCTAAACCCTATCCGTTTATATGATTGATATTATTAAAAAATTAGCCAAATATAAAGTGTGGGACAAATTCATTAGCATCATGAACATTCATTGGAAGTGTTTGTTGAAAACAATGTTTCATCTATTATTTGACTAGTACCATCAAATACCAAATAAAGAAAATGTGTCAAATTATGAGACTACATTGCATGATGAGTCCCCACCATAGTTTTTCTATGTTCTGATTAAAGAATGACAATGTACCAAATTTTTGGATGTATTATTATTTATAATAATTTATTATGTATATTAAATCACATGGAAGAATTTATGTTTCGCCACTTTGTTGTTTCAGTCAGTGATAGGTTTACCAGCTAACGAAGGGAACATACGACACACAGGAAGCCGAGCCGGTCTAATTAAGCCAAATTAATCCCCATGGACAATGGTTAAGCGACGCTTGCTCTTCATGCAAAACAAATACGAATTTAATTACAAAATTAAGTCCATGATTATTCGTTCTCTTTCTTTCTTTGTGGTTTTCACAAGACAGGCGGGACCCAATTTCCCCAAAATCGACGGTCAGTGTTGCCACACGCGAGTAAAGAAAAAAGGTGACGGAGAGAGAGATGACAAATGGGCGAGGTGCATGAGGCGAGCGGCATGCACTGCAGGGCAAAAGAGCGCATCGAACTCATCGGCGCAAAGTAGCAAACATCGCCAGCCAGCATAGCAAAGCAAACAATAGTACACTACACGCAGCAACACAGACAGAGACCCGAATTAAACGAAAGAGTCTCAGAGAGAGAAAGAGAGGGGAGAGAGAGGGGAGCCAAAAAGAGGCCTGGCAGGTGCAGGTGTACCAAATCACAAACACACACATCTGCAACGCGCCTACATACATTGAACGGTGCCTGCACTGCACTGCAGCCTATCTTTCTCTCTCTCCTCTAGCTCGCTCGCTCTGGTGCACAACAACAACGAACGACATCCAGTTTTTGCACTAAACGTTACGACGACATCACGCTGCTCACGCTGCTTGCTCACAGGGGCCTCTTCCAGAGAGAGAAACGCTGAAACGGCCGGGTGTGGAGGTGGGAATTGTGATACTTGCTAGTGGAGAGGACGAGAAAGTGTGAGAGAGAAAAAGAGAGAGAGAGAGAGAGAGAGAGAGAGAGAGAGAGAGAGAGATTAAAGGAAGTTAAGGAAGGCGACACATTAACGCCATTAGGTGGACGCGGTACCTGATTAATTCTTAACGCCTATTTGTCCTGATTCTCCCTCCCTCGCTGAACTTTCCTCTTCTACTTATTCTCACCCTTTTCTAAATTTCTTGCTTTCTTCTTCTTTTTTCTTCATCTTCCGCGTATCTTCTTTTTTCTGTTTTGGTTCAGAGGCGGAGAGAATTGATAAATAAATAGACATGGCACCGAGGACGACTGCCGGTGTAGAAGGCTTGGGGCCCACCACCGTCAATATTGCCGAGAGAGAAAGCAGCGGATGTAGCGATGGTTCAGCCTTCCCTGCTGCTGCTAACAAGAATAAACGAGGTGGACGACCTGAACCAGTGACCTCTTGTTTTTCTTATTCATTTATTGTTCATTTTTGTGTTGAACTCTGCTCGGAGAGAAAATTTGTAACTAAGCTCTGTTTTAGTCTTGGATTTTAATTTTTTTCCACAGTAAAATGAGATGCATTGACCATTATTAATTTTTAATGGTGGATTTAAAAACTATTCTATTATTGGGTTACTGATTCAGAAACGAATTCTACAGTGGGCATTTTGATTTTTAAGAGGTAGCTCAAGGCATGTTGCGTCAAATTTTTATGATGAACATCTAGGATCTTCAACTCTCTGTATATTGTGGCCTGTAACAAGTCTCATTTCTGAAATGGGTTCTCAAATTCTTATGGACTTTCACTTTAGCGAGTCCTCATGGTTTGATTTTCACCCCCGCCCAATTTTGCCTCGGTCTGTTCTTATTTTTTCAATTTTGGTGTTAGGTGAGAAAGATGATTCGTACACTCGACTATGGCATGCATGTGCTGGTCCTAATGTTTATGTTCCGCGCCCCGGAGAGAAGGTTTTCTACTTCCCTCAAGGTCACATGGAACAGGTTCTCTTCTCCCTCACCTCCTTCATTACTATTTCTTTTATGGCACTTTTAAGGACTCTGTTTCTTCTGTCTATTAAGCAAATTGTGAAGTTTTCATGCCATCTCTATTTGGTCCTCGGCACACCTTTTAGATGGTCCCTATTCAATCAATCCCTTCAATCTATTTTTGTCTGAGGTCCAAATAGGTAACATCTTTGCCTGTTGATCTAGAGTAGGTCGAGGCATATGCAAACGAAGATGGCAAAATGGAAATGCCAATTTACAATTTGCCTTCCAAGATCCTCTGCAATGTTGTCTGCGTTCTGCTAAAGGTAAATTGCTCCTCTCTCCGTGTGTTTAACAAAATCTGATGGGTATACTCTTTAAATTGTGTCTGGACTAGAAAATTGAATGGCTTACAATTTATGAGAATTTATTAATTTTTAATGACTCATTTGCAGGCTGAAGTTCACACAGATGAAGTGTTTGCTCAAATCACCTTGCTTCCTCTGACTGAGGTTAGCTATTGAGTGCTGAGATGACCTTACTTAGGCCTCATAAGAACTTACAAGAAACTGATATTATTTCTTTTTGATGCCATTAATTTTTTTTGTATGGCTCATAATTTGAAAAGTTTACATTATTTCACATGTTCTGGAATTTTTACATTTGATGATAACAACAACATATGTGTACTGTGTTGGCACCTTGCAGCTAAGTTTAGATGAAGAAAATAATCAACCCGTGCCTCAGAGCACCAGTACACGCTCCTTTAGCAAGACACTCACCCCATCTGACACAAGCACTCATGGTGGATTCTCTGTTCCGAAACGACAAGCTGATGAGTGCCTTCCACCTCTGGTTGGTTTTTATTCTGATGGCTTTCCATAACACCCATTACAAAATTTATTGCGCACATCTGCTAAGCAATCAATTAACCAATTCAATGTGATATAAGTTCAGGTTAAGTTTAAACGAGGCATATGGGGATAAATGCCTTCATATATTTGATTTTGGCTTCTCTTGTTACTGTTTCTTGGGACAGATATGAAAATCTTAGAACCTAGTCAACCTAGTAATCTACTACTCTCACTCAAGTGACAAGAACTATGCTAGCATGTTTGGTACTTTGGATTATGCAAGTGTCATAGGAAATCTTGTCTCAGATCTTCACCTTTTGCAATCACCTCTACCTCATAAGATTTATATAAAATGCTAAGGATTAGAAGCCAGTTCCTTCACAAGTTATAGATGTTTTTGCAGGACATGTCTCAGCAACCACCAGTACAAGAACTCATCGCAAGGGACTTGCAGGGATTTGAGTGGCACTTTCGCCATATATTTCGCGGTATCTCCAAATTCAGACACTCTCAAACATCTGACTGTGGAAGTAACTTAAGCATCAGTATTAGTACTTACAGAATCAGAAACGAATGCATGACACTTGAATTTGTTCATTCTGTTCGACATTGCAGTTGTATACTTATGGATGCATTTCTTTGATTATTTCAATATATAGGACACGTTTTTCTTTCAGAAATTTAAAATTCCTCTCATCATGCCTAGGAGAAAAAAGCAATTTGCCATGGTTTTCTGACTCCATGTAATGCATAATGGACCAACCTACAAATAAATGCTCAGTAATATAATTGCATTTACAGTTGCAATTTTATTTCTGATTATCCTTCTTAAGTGTGGCGAACACTTTTAATTCTCATGCATGTTTCTGCCTTAACCTTCTACATTGGATTCATCATATACGACCAATCTTAAATTTATGCTGCATCTCCCACAATGTAGGTCAGCCAAAGAGGCACTTGCTTACCAGTGGTTGGAGTACATTTGTGACTGCAAAAAGACTTGTTGCTGGGGATGCATGTATCTTTGTCAGGTACTCTCTCTCTCTCTCTCTCTCTCAAGTTAAATGGTTAATTAATATATGTATTAGTTATCTGTCTTCACTTTTTGTTATCTAATGATTGTAATTCTTGCTTCAGAGGAGAAAATGGAGAGTTACGTGTTGGGATACGCCGTGCGAACAAAAAACAGGACAATGCATCAACTGCTCTCATTTCAGGCCACAGCATGCAACATGGCATACTTGCCAGTGCTTTCCATGCCAATTCTACTGGTACCATGTTTACTGTGTACTATCGTCCATGGTAAGCTATTTGATTCTGTGAGCTAATAGGGTTTATGTTTAATATCAGTGTCACTGGGTATACACATATTCTAAGGTTTTAAGCATGCCATCTTTTTATGCATATGCAGGACCAGTCCTGCTGCATTTATAATTCCTTGTGATCAATACATGAAATCAGCAAAAAATGACTACTCTATTGGTATGAGATTCAGAATGTGTTTTGAAGGTGATGAATGTGCAGAGAAAAGGTAATCAAGCCTTGGCTTCTGAGTGCAAGAATGGATGGATAAAAATACCATAGACACTGTTAACAACCTACCTTTTCCCCCTAAAGTGTCACTGTCATGGTGTTTTGACTGAATGTGGTTATTGTATGAACCAGATTGGCGGGTACTATATTAGATATTGAAGATAATGATTGTATCAGGTGGCCCAGTTCAGAATGGAGGTGTCTGAAGGTACCCAAGTTCCTGTTCTAACCATCAAAATCTCAAAATCTTCGAACTGATACATAATTATCTCATTAATTGATCTGTCCATCCAGGTCCAATGGGATGCCTCATCAGATACAAACTTGCATCCTGAAAGGCTTTCTCCTTGGAATATCATGCCTCTCCAACCTAATAAGAGAGCACATGTTCCTGATCTGATATCACCTGGGTTTCCTAACTCGGCCACGAATGGTCAGTAACTCTCATATACCTCCCTGTGGAAAGTTTCTCTAGATTTCAGAAAAAGCTTCCTTCGTCAACACAGTTTGAATGATATATCCAATTAAAGTCAAAATTAATCAACTTATCTCTCTTGTTTTCTTCATAGGCTTATTGCCAATTCCAGTTGAGTATACACCTCCAAGACAAAAAAAGGTCTTTCAAGGTCAAGAAATTAGTGACCCACCTGCTTATGAACCGGGTACTCAAAAACCACCATTACTACCGCAGTTCATTCCACCATCAAATCCTGACTGGAACTATACACAATTGGGATTGGAAAACAATCCATTGCATGACCCACTTTTTCAATGTCCTGGCAGTGCAATAGCTCCAAGTCTCACTAACCAATGGCCACCAATATTTAATTTCGGAGTCTTGGACAGTGTCGCGTTTAGAAGAAGCATGTCAGTTCCAAATATCAAATCCTCTGGGTCCCAGGACTCGAGGGCCTTCAAACCAAGGAGTGAGATTGAAGCGCCCCTTGTCCAACCAAATAGCCGTGGTACAACCATGCTGTTCGGGGTCAATATAGTTACTAGTCACCCGGAGCTCCCTTCACCACAAGTTGTCACTTCTAGTGAACTTTTTAGTCCTTGTTCTATTACTCCAATATCTCAGTCGAGTGTTTCTGAAACTATCCAGATTTCAGAGACATCTAAGAGTGTTTCTGGTGTTCTTTCTGCGAAACAATGCAAGAACTGTTGCTCTGTCACTAACAGGAGCTGCATAAAGGTACATTACATATAAAACTTCTTCTAGGGTGTCTTTTCAATCAAGTTGAAGGAAACATTTATGCTAATTGAATTATCTTTATTGTTTTGCATTCTACATTATTCAATCACCAAACTAGAATTTGATTTCATGCACCTTAAAAGATGTATCTGTGTGTTTAGATAACGAGCAACCTTCCAACTAGTTTCTACAAACTTCCAAAGAGCTGTGTCTGGTGGTGATAATGCTTTGTTGAAGTTATATGGTCAAGCATAGTTACTTGTGATTCAGGTCCCTTGGAAGGCACATGAATAGGCATTCTTATTACTTTCAAGTTGCATTTGTAGGATAATGAATCAATGTGCAGATAATGTTTAACAACTAGTATTTCTTCTTCGCACCTCCTTATAATGGTTGAGTTGATTGCTCAAGCTAACCTTGTCAAAATTTCAACGCTCTTTCAGGTGCTCAAATATGGAGCTCCTGTTGGAAGGTCGGTGGACCTCACACGCTTTGATGGGTATGGTGAACTCATTGCTGAGCTTGACCAGATGTTTGATTTCAAAGGAAGCTTGATCGATGGAAGCAGTGGGTGGCAGGTAACCTATATGGATGATGAAGGAGACATGATGCTGATAGGAGATTACCTGTGGCAGTTAAGAACTAGAACTCATACTGTGACTTAAAGTTTGCCATTTCTGATGTGCTGTACAAAACTGATCTGCTATTGGTCTTTACTAATTTGGTAATCATGTTACATATGCAGTGAATTCCAGTCCATGGTGCAAAAATTGTACATCTGTCCAAAGGAAGAAATCGACAGACTGAATCCAGGCTTGCCAAATGCAACATCCCTCTAATTCTTTGCTGTGAGGTCATTTGTGTTTATCTGTTCATATGAGGGAGTGTGAGACAGAAACAGAGACAGAGACAGGGAGAGATGGTATCGACAAACATGTCTGCATGAATAGCTATGTCCACTTGTGCAAATTTAATCATCTAGTGTAGCTACAGTTTGCACATTATCTAAATTTAGCCAAAAACAGAAGTTTGGTTGGTTGTTCTGAAGGATGCTAGTGTTTTGTGAGAGATTGCTGTCCTGTATAAAATCCAGATATATACACCTGTTCTGGTAGAATTATGGACCTGGGCAGTGGGCATGAATCATGATAGATACTTAATTCACAGTATATTATATTGGATAGTTGTTCTTTATTCACAGTGTATTATATTGGATAGTTATAACTTATATTTATATGCAAAAGCATTTCCAGTTTCGAATTTGTTTTGCATATTGAGCTATAATGTGTGGGTTTTTTGGGCCTATTTATATGGTTTGGGCCCGAGCACCTTGGTTATCCGGAAAAAAAAAAAGAAAGAAAAAGAAAAAAAAAGTGAGAGCAGCTTGTGCCTCGGAGGCTCAGCCTATCTCGATTCTCATCTGCGAATTTCCAGGCACACGCACCCTTCATATATTTCCCGCCACCAAACCATTTTCTCTCATCAAAGAAAATCTAGCAGAGAAAAGAAAGTAACCATGAAATCTTTGTATCCAATTAGACCAATTACAGCCGTCCCAAAGTTTAATTCTACCTCTTACTCCAAAATTTCTGCTATCACCAGTGTTGCTACGCCTACGCTCAATTTCTGGGTTTCATCACCACATCCAATTCGCTCACTGAATGATTTTCCCAAGCCACACCCACACACTCCTCTAAGATCTCAGTCTCCTTCAAACCCACAAAGCAACGAGCAAGGGAAAGATGAAGTGGAAGAAGAAGAAGACCCAGATGCCCAAGTCCAAGACCTTGTGGTCCCAGAGCGTTGGTTGGTCCCTTCCAAGGCCTTGGAGGTATAATTTTCTCTTAATTTACAGAAATTAAATTTAAGCTGTTTTTGGATTTGATTGTTTTGATTGAATGATATCTATTTATCCATCCAGGAATCAGAGTGGCTAAGGGTTACTTTGCATAAGTGGTTGGATGATGAGTATTGCCCAGAAGCCACCAATTTTGAAATCAGCAAGATTGCTGCTCAATCATACTACAAATCTTTGCTGGGAAAACAGACTGACTTGGGTGAGATTTTGCTGAAGATGGCTATAGAATTGGAATCTATTTCCTACCAGGAAAGCTTCCATGGGGCATTCTCATCCGCCAACGCAGCAGTGAATTTGATTGCCCAACGGATAGAGCAGTCCTGATTTTAACTCAAACCAGTTGATGAAGGTTTTCACTTTTCACTTTTCATTTCACCAAATTAGTAATTTATCGTCTCCTGCATTTCCTATGTAAAAACAGTAAGTTTTCATAAATCAATCTTGCATGAAAGGGCCTTCTTCTTTCGAACTTCATCTTTCGAATCAATGTCTTCTCATCTCATGTCTTTGCATAGTGAGTCAGTGACAACTGATAATGAATGTTTAATGCACCTGATCTGGTGCAGGAAATTCCAAAGTCTTGAAAGATGTAAAACCTCCATCTACCACCAAATTATGCCCACTAACATATTTAGCGTCATCTGAAGCTAGATAAAGTGCAGCATTAGCAATGTCGTTGGGTTCACAATTTGTACCCTCCAAGACGCCGGCATTCTGTGTTATTTCTATTAGACGCTGAATATCGATTCCCGGGAAAATCCGACTCATTTCTTCAAGTACAAATGGGGTTGGAATGGCAAATGGCGATATACAATTGACCCGAATTCCATGCTTGCTTAGCTCTGCAGCCAGCGACTTAACAATGCCTATGACAGCAAACTTGGATACCGAATAGGTGTGCTGTGCGAGTCCTCCCATTAGTCCCGTGACACTGGCTGTGCATAGAATGGAGCCAGTTTTGCGCGGGATCATCACACGTGAAGCATGTTTCATTCCTGCAACGACTCCTCGCACGTTGATGTTCATGACACGATCGAACACTGCCAGGTCGAGGTCCACAATGCTCGGGGGAGTGTTGCAGGCTACCCCTGCATTGGCGTACATAATGTCAAGCTGGCTATGTTTAGAGATGGTGAAATCTACAGCATTGGAAATGTCGGATTCTTTTGAGACATCACAGGCGATGAAGGTCGCATTGGGACCGAGCTCGTTTGCTGTGACCTGGCCAAGCTGCTGTTGGATATCTGCAATGACAACTTTGGCACCATTGGTGATGAATTTGGATGCAGTTGCCTTTCCTATGCCACTTGCTGCTCCGGTGATCAGCGCCACTTTGCCTTCAAGTCTGCTTTGTCACACATAGCAAAGCAAACATGGCCCAAGTCCAAGCATCAGTTGCAGACTTAAAGAATCCAATCAACAGAAAGGGGAAGCATCTGATAAAATCTAATTAACCCCATATCCATATCCATATCCATTCAAGTTTGCCTACCTCGCAGTCTGGGACGAAAATCCCATCTTGAAGCTTGGAGAAACCACAGGAGCTCTTGAAATGGTAACCTTTTTTCTGTTCAAAACTTCAAACCATTAGCAACTTTTATTCTGAGTTGTATCCAAAGATTAAATCTTATTGAATAGGAAGAGAAAACCTCAGCCCAAAAAAAAAAAAAAAAACCCCAAGAAAACCAAACCAAAAAAAAATCCCAGCACCTTGAAATGATTTCTGTCTGTCTGCATAGATATCAAAATCAAAAGGTAAGACGAGCAAACCTTAATGCAACCCTGAACATGGTTTGTTTTGTTGAAGAAGATGTGGTCGTTCTTGTTTCTTGTTTCTATCGGCCAATTATTGAATATGGTTGGACCGACAAGTAGGATGTAAGAAAGCATCTTACATGGGTGGCAACGTGTGGGCCGTTGCATCAATACTTTTTCTTTTTTTCTTTTTGGGGTCTGAAATTTTGTTTAATGTCAATATAATAATAATAGTGTCAAACGTAAGTTTGCACTCACAACAAAATCTGGGGAATCTGGGGTTGGATTGGAGTGGAGGACTATATGACAAAATCTTTTAAAAATTAGTCAACTTTGAAGGATTATTATCGTAGTTAGCCATTCTTGAACAATGTGTATTGAAACTAGTCCATCCCTGTTATAATTTCCAGTTTCAGGGTTAATTCTAGAAATGCACAGCAAAGAAGATAATAACAAAAGTCTGATGAATTGGGGAGATTTGACAGAATCTTGGGTGGATTACAACAATCCAACAGCCGGATTTAGAAATTGAGACATCCCCTCCCAACAACCCCAGCTGCTTCTCCACCCTCCCTTTCCTCTATCAATGGTATACATTCAACTTCAGCTGCTAATGGTGGCCCACCAGGAATCAGGCAAAAGTTACCACTTCCAGTGTAGGTTGCCAGAGCAACGGGCAAAAGTAGAATTCTCCATTGTGAAAAGCAGCACATTCAATTCTTCAAACTGAAGACAGGGTAACACCACGCCGGTGTGGAATCCATTCATTGGCTCCGCGGTCGAGAACATGCAGCTCCAATTCGAAAGCATTGGTACGGCTCATGACAGAAACATTGCGATCTTGACAAGTGGGAGGTGATGAAAATGCTGCGACAGGACCCTGAGGCTCATATAGTTATGAGACTAGGAACTCTGGAAGGTCTATTTTGGCACGAGAGAAGGGGCAAAAGAAGAAGATTGAGCCGCATGACGGTTTGAAAAGAAGCAGCCATCCTTGGTTTGTTGCAAGGCAAGTTGCTCCTTTGAGTTATGGAATGTCAGTGATGGTGTACTTTTTACCAGTTTCACAAATTAGACACTGGCATTGATCAGAATCTTCCTCGTACAGTAGAAACCAGCGTTCATGTGAAGATTCAGTGTGAGCTGAAGCAGGAGCTCGATTAGGCCAAGACGCTCTGCTATGTTTGATAACACTTCAGGACGAATATATAGCCGCGTGGCCATAACCCTTTTTTTTAATATATATATATATTTCAATATTATAGCCGCACGGCTATACGGCTTAAAAATATTTTTCAATATTATGGCCGCACGGCTATACTCCTGCTATAAAAAAAAATATATTTAAATCATGTAGCCGGCGGCTATACTTCTGATATAAAAAATATATTTAAATAGTATGACCGCACGGCTATACTTCTGGAATAAAAAATATATTTAACACGTATAGCCGTGCGGTCATACTTCTTAAATAAAAATATATATTTAAAGAGCACAGCCGACCGGCGATACTCCTTAAATTAAAAAACAAATTTAAGAAGTATAGCCGTCCGGCTATAGTACATTTAAGAAGTATAGCCGTACGGCTATAAGGAGTATAGTAGACTGCTTGCATAGTAGCGCCGCGCGGCTATACTCGTGTTTGGTAACACTTCAGGACCAATATATAGCCGTGTGGCCATAACCCTTTTTTTATATATGTATTTCAATATTATAGCCGTACGGCTATACGTCTTAAAAATATATTTCAATATTATGGCCGCACGGCTATACTCATGATATAAAAAAATGTATTTAAATCGTATAGCCGACCGGCTATAATTCTGACATAAAAAATATATTTAAATAGTATCGCCGCACGGCTATATGCCTGATATAAAAAATATATTTAAATATATTTAAATAGTATGACCGCACGATAAAAAAATATATTTAACACGTATAGCCGGGCGGTCATACGTCTTAAATAAAAATATATAAGAGTACAGCCGGCCGGCGATACTCCTGAAATAAAAAATAAATTTAAGAATTATAGCCGTTCGGCTATACCGCTTCAATTAAAAAATAAATTTAAGGTATATAGTAGACTACTTGCATAGTAGCGCCGCACGGCTATACTCGTGATAGAAGAACATCCAATTCTGGAAGATCCAGAGTGTACTTTTGACCACTCTTAGCTACCAATAACTGGCATTGATAATCAGGATCTTTATGATCGTCATCACCATTCATCCCATATAGAAGAAAACAAGACAGAGCAAGCACAAAAAGGAGAAACAAGACACTTTAGATCTGTTGGTTTATCCATTCATGAATCATATTAAGACACCTTATGACAAGAATTACAAGCAGAAGCAGAGTTATTTCATTAAAGGCATCAAATTAAACAAGAATGTGCAGAGTATTGTTGAATACAATACTCCGTTGGCTCAAGTAGTATATATACTAATGCTTAGTTACCCCTAAACTTAGGTCATGTGTTCGAATTTCTCGTCCCCCAATGTTGCTCGTATCAAAAAAGCATATCAAGTTTTAAAGTTCAAATCTAAATGATGATCAGTTTTTGTACTTGTTTTTCTTCTTTTGTTTCTCAAATTCAAGATACACTGGAGATCATGATCATGGCAAGTTTCGAAAGAATGAGAACACAAGAACAAAACCCAATAAGGATAAACCAACAGCTTCTAAACTTTTTGAAATTGATCATGGATTTCTGAGAACAATATATGATAACTTAATCGTACCTTTGAGATTAAGCAAGAAGAAGCGCTTCAAGAATAGACAAAGTCAGTGGAAGAATTACAATCAGAGAGTTCTAATTTCAGTAGCTCACCACAGCTTTGAACTGTCAAAATAAATGAATGAATAAATATAGATGGAACTCCTGAAAGGATAAAATCGTATAAGTGCCCCGGTGTGGGTGGAACTCTTGGAGGTTTTTTAAACGACATCCCGTTTCACATGCCAAAGTGCAAGAAGGAAAAATGCAAAAAAAAAATCTAAGAACCAGGGGCATTCCGAGAATTGAACTCGGGACCTCTCGCACCCTAAGCGAGAATCATACCACTAGACCAAATGCCCTTTTGATTTACAATGTAAAATTGTAAATATTTCTTTTGGTAATTCAGTCTTGAAGATTGAAGCAAAGTTCAAACCCCGTTAGCCAGCAACAAAAGGAAAAAAAGCTTTAAAATTTTATTTAATAAAAAGAAAAAAAACAAACAAAATACTTTAGCAACAAAAGAACAAACTTGAAAACAAAAGGCTTGCCCAGTATTGCAATTTGCAAACTTTGTTTTTGGAAGGATTTGAATCTTGATCATAAACAACCAAATTCTTGTATCATGGTAAATATTATTATAGAATTTGTTACAAATTCATAGGAAGCTTCATGTAAGAAAATTGAAGCAAAACCCAAAGAGTTTTATTATAAGCAAAACCAATTAAGCATTACATCAAAGTGTACCAACAGCAAACTGAAATAAAGACAAGAATGGTACTAGCTAGCTAGGAAAGGAAAGGAAAAAATTAGAGAGCAAAAAGCAGTGATGAAGCAAATTCACAAGTCTCTTCTTTTGGAGGGACTTGGAAGAATTTTGAGTAGATCCATACCCCTTTGAGTTGACGGCTCTTGGATTCTTCAACACGATCGCCAGAAATGCTCTCACTGTAAACGAAACTGTCAAGGTCACCAGACTTCCTTTGTGTCCCACAAGTAGAAAACGAAACGTCCACGTCATCTGGCAACCCCAGCTTCTTCTTCATGTCAGTGTTCTTGAAATAACTAGCGTAAGCAATGAAATCTGAACAAAAGAAGCGCCACCACAATTACCAACAGCTTCACCTTCTTACCACTTTCTGTGACCAACTGGCAATTATGATAAGAATCCTCAGCATACAGTAGAAACCAGGGTTCAAAGTCTGGTGTGGATTCAATTTTAGCGGAGGCAGTGGAAGAAGCAGAGTTCCAAGACTTGCAGACGCTCCGGAAACTCAGAAGCTCGATGGAGCCCAGACGCTCTGCTATGTTTTAAGCAAGATCAGGAGGAAGATGGGACCATGGCGGCCATTGCTTTATTTGCATTTGCATTTGGTCTCCAATAGACATTTTGCAAAACACTGGCCCATATTGTAATTTACTTTCTTAGCTGCTCCATCCATACCATAGATCCACACACACACACACACACATATATATATATGTTAAAGTCGAAGGAACTAACATGGAAAAGAATTAGGGTTTATGAACCAATAAGTGAAGGCTAGCAACTAGCAGTGAATATATAACCAAGTTGTTAACTTGTAAAAGAAGGCAACAATCTGTGAGGTCTGCAATTTTCTTAATATGTTGGGTTTGGTCTGCTATTTCTATCATTGGATCAATTAAAAAAAAAACAGAGAGTAAGAAATACTTCAAATGGATTAAGAACATCAAATTCAAGGTACCTTATAACGAGAATTACAAACTACCTACACGCCAAACAACTTCTTCAAGTTCACCAGTGTTTTATTGATTCCAAAAAACCTACACCATAAAAATGAAAACATTAAAACAAAACATTTTCATATTCTAAGCACGAAGCCCAAAAGCCGAATGCTTAACCCTGAACCCCAAAGCGAAGCCATTTTAGACCTAAACATGATATCGCCACCGCTACAAAATAGAAAAGAAATGCTGGATATATCATAATCATTGCTAGCATACAAAGAAACAGAGCACAAAAAGAGCCTACCAGAAGAAATCAACTGCTTCTGGACTTGACTTTTTTTCAAATTAACATTGGAATTTGGAAGAATAGAGAAAAATATACCAATACCTCTCTTTTTTTGTTACAAAGGGGAGAAGAGATTACTATACAACTGTGTAGTAGTTAATATATAGAACTCAGAGTTCTAAGATCACAAACAACCTGTGAATCCATGCATGTTTAGCATTTTGAGCCCGGACACATGAAACCAGAAGCAGCTGAGAAAGCATAGACTGCAAAAGAAGCCAAAGGACGCTGAAAGAGGCCATTGTTGTTTCAGACTTTCAGTCAATCATAGTGTTCAAAAAATCGGCCTAGGCGGGCGGCTAGGTGGCTAGGAAGTCGCTAGAAAGGCTCGAGGCGGCTAGGATGTCGCTAGGAAGGCGCGAGGCAGCTAGGCGGTTG